AAAAAAACACAAACCTGCAAGATTCCACTTTTGCAGGATTCCTAACCTAACGTAAATGTGTTATTATATATTATCCCATCACTGCAGGATTCTACAGTGGTACATTCACATTCTACTATTGAAGTATTAGCTATAATTCATAATTAAAAAATATATTACTGCCACAGGTGGGGGGGTTCAGAGGCCGGGGGGGCTTCGTGAATGGCCAGCCCATGGAGGTCGGGCGGATCTCATTCACCTTCCAGCTCGACTGCTCCTCTGAGTGCGAGTTCGTCTTCATGGAGGCACGTCAGGGTTAAATGGGCTCAATTGGAGGGTTAAATGGGTCCAATTGGAGGGTTAACGGGGTCTAACTGGAGGATTAAGTTAGTCAAAGTTTGGGTTAAAATGTGGCAAATTTTGGGGTTAAATGGGGGTCAATTGATGGGTTAAATGGGTTTAATTGGAGGGTCAAATGAGTCTAAGTGGCTATCATGGTGGAATGTCCAAATAAGTCCAAATGGAGAAATAAATGTGTCTCAGTGGAGGGTTAAATGGGTCCAAGAAAGTGGTCACCTCTTTATTACCAACCCCTTCTACCTGCAGGGGTCGCATCTTTATTACCAACCCTTTCTACCTGCAGGGGTCACCTCTTTATCACTAACCCCTTCTACCGGCAAGGGTCATCCAAGATGGCATCACTTCTTTATTACCAACCCCTTCTACCTGCAGGGGTCACCTATTTATTACCAACCCCTTCTACCTGCAGGGGTCACCTCTTTATCACTAACCCCTTCTACCTGCAGGGGTCGGCCAAGAAGGGCGTCACTATCCTGCAGAGCTGGACAGGCCAGCAGCCTCGGCAGTTCTACAGCTGCCTCGTCAGGAGGAACGACTCCTTCACCTTCTCATGGGCCTTCCAGAAGGTAACGATTTGACCTCAATAAATTTACGGCTTTAATTCATAATTAAAAACCGTTTAATTACATTATATACCCATAATTAAATGATACAACTTTGATTACTAATGCAAATGTGTTATGCCTATGTTATTCATATTATATTTAGCTACAGGTCTCATGTTTTAATCTCAACGCAATGTAAGCAAACAAAAATAATGAAAGGCAGGAAATAACGAACCAAATTTCAAACGTTTTATAATAACTAGACAGTAAATGCGATTGTGAATACGATGATAGGAATATAAAATTCATTACTTTTGTCTGTTATGTAATAACATAAAAATAAAAAACTTCGTTGAATTATAAGGTTTCAGATGATAAAATAAAAAATTAACAATGATTTACTAGTAATAATAACATCGATTAAAATTGAAATATGAGGTTTTAGATGATAAAATATAAAGGATGATATTGTCGCAGGTTTCGTGGGAGAAGAGCTACTTGCGGCCGAGCTCGTCGCGCCGGTACGAAGGCGACGTCGCTAAAATATTCAACATCAACGTCACCAACACCGTCGACGGGGGAGCCTCCACCTGCCTACCCTGTCCCCAGGTGGGACGCTTTCTGGGGTCCCAAATGTGGGACTTTCGTCNTAAGTGAACGTAAGTACTTACGCTCTATTTTCTTGTCTATGATTGGTGAATTTTGCTTGAAAGGCCGTCAATGATTGGCTGATGAACTTACGATCTCTTACATTTTTTTAACTATTGGCCCAGGCCTCCATTTTAACCCCCTTCCCCCTGCAGGGCGTGGGGGGCGAGGGGTGTGTACCGTGTCCCCCAGGACACTACATCGAGGCCAACACGACGGCGTGCACGGCCTGTCCCCCCGGCACGGTGGTCACAGAGCCTCTGCCCTACGGGTCCAAGTCGTGCCTGTCGTGCGGGCCTGGCCTCACGGCCCCCGATGGCCTCACATGCAGAGCCGAGTGCCTCCTCAGCGTCCAGGGGCGAACCTATGACCTCAGCAACATCAGCAGGTGGTACTCTTATGGTGGCAGGTGGTACTCTTGACATGGTGGCAGGTGGCACTCTTATGGTGGCAGGTGGTACCCGTGACATGGTGGCAGGTGGCACTCTTGACATGGTGGCAGGTGGTCTTCTTGACATGGTGGAAGGTGGCACTCTTGACATGGTGGCAGGTGGTCTTCTTGACATGGTGGCAGGTGGCACTCTTGACATGGTGGCACGTGGCACTCTTGACATGGTGGCAGGTGGCACTCTTGACATGGTGGCAGGTGGCACTCTTGACATGGTGGCAGGTGGCACTCTTGA